GCTGATCGTGTCCGAAGTATTTTGCGTAGACAACTGTTCATAAATACTTGTATCTTCTGAATGATGGCTTTGGTAGTTCTCCAAATTTCCGCTCCATACAGTAGAACTAATTGTCTTGACATTTTGTATTGAAAAAGCACAAACTATAGATAAGTTTATTTACATTTCGTTTTGAAAATTCTAATTTTCATTATAAACATCAACTATGAACTGTGTTTAGATAGAAATATATAATTAAGTATGAATAGGCATTCATTACCCCCTCTAAGTGTTGTACTTTATTATTACAGTAATGTTATATATACATAACAGTAGTATGTACTTTTGAAAATATTTAATGCTAACTTGTGATAAAATTAAAAAATTTAGTGTGATCTACAAAAAATGTAAATTTTTTTATTATTTACTAATTAATTAGGTTTTTCAGCTTTTCTAAAAAAATAAATTTACTTAACTGAAGCAAAATGAAAAGATCAGAGAATGCAGAATAAAAAAAGTGACTGCATTCTTGTTTTGTTTTTTTTATCCAGGTTCTCTCTTCATCAGCAAGTTTGTTTATATCGTATGATATATTTTAACAAAAAAAAACCCAATCAGCATATAAATTTCTTTTAGTATTTATAAATAGTGAAAGGAATTTACGATGAACGTGTATGCAACATGAAGTAGCGAAGTTTCTTGATCCAATAAAGTTAATAAGATCATAAAAATCGATTCATTTCAGATATTTTTTATTGTGTGAGAGGAAAACTTTTTAGAATATTGAACTTTTAATAATTAGAAATTGAAGAGTAAATCAAAACTGTCAATGGTTAATGTAACAAAGATCAAATTAATAGTAATAATCATGAGTTGACATCAGATTGTCAAGTGAGGGGTTAGATTTACTTACACAAAGTTCATTCACTGAGATTTATAAATATAATTTCTCACTTCTAATCAATCAGTCAGTCAGTTACAATGTGCAACTTTGTAGGTAGGTACATCAGTTCAGGTTGCCAGGCCACATTAGCACAGAGATATAACTGTCAGATCAAATCCAATAGTGGAAGCGATTATAGAAGTATTAGCAGTAATGGAGAAGATTAGAGTTCGAAGATATGATTCGAGAAGTATAATTCAGTGAAATAAGGTTAGAAAGAGAAAGATAGAGGTGATGAGGAATTCAGAAGAATAGAATTTGAGAGAACACAAAGAGTGGATGCACCTACGCAATTGTAAACGATTTTGAGCCATGTCGTTCAAGTTCCATAACCATTGGTGACTTTCGTCTCGAGGACCCCAATCAGGTAGTCTACACTTACCAACATGACTCAGTCCACTTGTCAGTGACTTCATGGATTTCTGCCTAATTTGGTCTGGCCACCCCTAGCTTTCTTCCAACCTAATCCTACACTGCAAAACATAGCTCGTCGCGGCAGTCGGTGGTTTGGCATTTGTGGCACATGTCCCAACCACCTCAACTGATGAAGTTTCACTACATCATTTGATCTGCCATCTCTACCTACTGCTCGTTTCCTAACGACAGTATTGCTCACTCGGTTGTCCCACGATATACAAACAATACTTTGGAATCACCTATGATCGAAAACCAGTAACCTATGAATGTTCTCTACTCTTACCGACAATGTTTACCACTTTAATTACTTACACTAACTTGACTCCTAACAGCTATGTGACTATACACTCAAATTTTGACAAATCTTCTTACAAAACTGTTTTTATTTTTCTTGAATTTATAATTTCAATTCTTCTAATTGACTGAATTCAAGTCAATATTTTTTATTAATCTGATTTCAGTTACTTCATTATACAATCTTTAATTTCCAATCAAAAGTTCAATATTCTGGAACTTTTCCTCTCATATTTTAAAAATATCTGAAATGAATATATTTTTATGACCTTATTAGCTTTATTTAGTGGAAACTTCACTACATCATAATGCATATATTCATCTTTAATCCCCGTCACTATTTATAAGTGAATCAATTTGTATGATTATTGGAATTTTAAAATATCATAAGGTGTAAACAGCCGATGAAGAGGAACCCCGACCGTAGATTCTAACTTGATGTGATGGTCGGGCTTGCCTATAGTCATGATCCAACCAAGTTGTATTGGCTGCGACAAATGTTCTTAAAGGTTCTACCATGCCAGGCAGGTCGATTGGAGAACGATGAAACTAAAAGCAGCTACCCAAGGTCTGAGGGCGAAGTCGTACTGCTGACTGTGATGGAGGGGTGTGACAGCAGTAAGGTGTTTCCCTCGGACAAACAGCATCTGCAGCGATGCTGGCTTCTCACAAGGAAGGAAGGGTTAGAAAAGGTCGACCCTAAAAATGTCACACCTCCCCTACCTCACGGATTTCCGTCTCCTTGGGTAAGTGTGCCCACTAAGGGCCTTTAAGAACGGAGCTAATCCTCAAAAAACCTTTCATAAAAAGGCCGTGCGTGATCGGCCTGAAGCAGTTGTCCCTTGGACTCTGCGGTCACGCACCAACACTAATCCATCTTCCTTTTCAGGTTCCTCAAGAAACAACCTTCCACGGTGTGGGCAGCCGGGAAGTGATAACCGCCCTCATACCCGTGACAGCACACGAGACCAAATTGTTCAAAATCAAATCCTTCCTACATTCCCTAATACCTCTCTTATCTCCACAACTAACTCTTCTCACATTCATTTATTACAGTGCACAGCTAATGCAAACGATGCGAGTTTGCGAAACGTCGTTCCTGGTCTCCTTAAACCCCGTTCCAAACTACATGTTGGAGCATTCAATGTACGGACATTGTGTCAAATAGGGCAACAGGCTTCCTTAGCTAGGACTTTAGAATCTCGTTCCATCGATGTGTGCTGCGTCTCGGAAACGCGCATACAGGATCCGAGTAGCATCACTCATTTGACCTCACCATGTCAAGATAAAGAAGCAGCTCGATTTACCCTTCGTGTATCCGGTAGCCCTGATGCTGCTTCTAGGGGCCTCGCCGGTGTAGGTATAGCATTGTGTCGTAGGGCAGAACAATCTCTCCTTGACTGGATCCCTGTAGATAGTCGCTTGTGCGCCGTCCGACTGAACGGCACAGTAAGGACTCGGAAAGATAGGGACACTCGTCGTTGCCTCTTCGTCATATCAGCCTACGCCCCCACTGACTGCAGCCCAGATGATGTAAAAGATGAGTTTTACAGAAAGCTTTCGGACCTCCTCCAAAAAGTTAGGCGCTCTGATATAGTTATGATGGTTGGTGACTTCAATGCACAAGTAGGTAGACTGAGTGAAAATGAAAGACACCTAGGTGGATGTTACGGTCTCGCGGCTCAAAGAACAGACAATGGCGACCGTCTGTTGCAACTGTGCTCAGATAACCAACTATTTCTAGCAAACACTAATTTTAAGCATAAGGAAAAACACCTTTTGACCTGGCGACCCCCGAAGTCGTCTCAACGTTGGACACAACTAGATCATATCGCCATCAGCCACCGATGGAGGGGTTCGATAGAGGACTGTCGCTCGTTCTGGGGCACATGTTTAGATTCAGATCATGCCCTAGTGCGAGCACGTATTTGTTTGAGGCTTGCTGGACGTAGGAAAGACACCGTAAGGAAGCCTCTTAGGGCTTCACTTGATGATAATCAACTTACTTACTTTACTTTCGCCTGTTACCCCTAATGGAGCATAGGCCGCCCACCAGTTTTCTCCAACCAACTCTGTCCTGGGCTTCCCTCTCCAGTTCTGTCCAATGTTTGTTCATTCCTCTCATATCTTTCTCTATTTCTCGGCGTAGTGTGTTCCTTGGCCTTCCTCTTTTCCTTTTGCCTTGAGGGTTCCATTTGAGGGCTTGTCTAGTGACGCAGTTGGGTGCTTTTCGTAGTGTATGTCCTATCCACTTCCACCGCTTCTTCCTGATTTCCTCCTCCATTGGAATCTGACTTGTTCTCTCCCACAGTTCGTTGTTGCTGATGGTGTCTGGCCAACGAATACGAAGCAT